TTTTATATTTTCGAAAACAGTTTTTTAGAATGGCAAAGAGAACATATTTTCAAAAATTTCAAAACAGACACTCAAAACACAAAACGAATTCAAAACACAAAATTGAAATACAAAGAGAACGGCCCCTAAAATTCTAAAAAATAAAATTGTGAAAAAATAAAATTATAAAAATTTCTAGAAAAATAAAATTTATATAAAAAAAAATAGTTCAAATGCTTAGTGATTATTTAAATAAAATTTCTAAAAAAATGCCAACTTTAGAATTTATATACTTTTTGATAATATATCAACAGAAAATTGTTCTATTTTCACTGTATAATCAAATTTTATGAAATAAAATGTAATAAAACAATTTTTCAAAATTTGAAAAAAAAATGTGTTTTTTAGTTCTTTGTTTTAAGAAATGATTTTTCAAAATAACAAAACAAACACATTTTTAACATTCTTAAAATAGATACTCAAAACAAAAAACTAAGAATGAACATAAAATTGAAATACAAATCAAATGGGCCCTCAAAGTTTTACAATGTCATTCAAATAAGCAAATTAAGTATTTCAGAAAAATTCTTGAGTCGTACCTTAACAACTACGCAGGAGAAGCGAACCACCTTCCTTGCTTTTCCTTGGAATCAATCTTGCACAACTGTTATGTAGCAGAGAAATTTCCTTAACAAAAGATCATTCTTAAGCAATAAGAATTTGAACAAACAAATGAAACCTAATGAAGTATGAGAAACCACCAGATAGAAGTATTTAGAATGACTCCCTCCCACCAAATATAAATAATTTCAGTTTCAGGTATTAGATTCAACTATGTTCAAATACAAACTCAACTTTAAAGTCGGAAGAAATATTGGATCGTTACATCAAAACCGACATTCGAAGGTGTCTCAATGAAAGAGTGAATCAAATAAAACCTAAGACCTTTGAGACAATTAGTCCAAAACCAATAGATATGTTCGATCTCAACTAGAAACTCAAGATTGGGTTTACAACCAAGAGCATAGTCAGGGAAGGTGCTTAATTCTAGAAATGCAAAATTTCCCATGTCAACACAGAGAGAACTAGAATCCAGCACTAATAGGGTACTTACACCAGCCCATTCACCAAGGGTTTTAGCGCTCAGAACCATTATCGAACTGACATTATGATCGAACTAGAATCCAGCACTAATAGGGTACTTGCACCAGCCCATTCACCGAGGTTTTAGCGCTCGGAACCATTATCGAACTGACATTATGATCGACACTTAATGCTTTCACCAACTTAGCATAATCTGACTGGTCACAATCTTGTGTCAGCACAGAAAGTTGAGCAGCATGCTTTTCTATATTCTCTATAGCACATACATTTCAATTAGTTAGCGTGTTCGCGTTGAACACGTATCAATACCGACACTTTTCGAACACTCGACTATAACTATTTTTCTTTTTTTACTAGAAATATTATATCAAAGTTATTAGTAAATAACAATTAGGTATTCATATTTAAAAGATTTCAACAAGAATATATAATAACAAGTATAAATTTATACTATATATATGAAGAATATTAAAGAATTTAATCAACGTGTCGTATCAGTACTTTTTTGAAAATTATGTGTCGACATATCCGACATGTATTGTGTTGGACACACGTGTCCATGTCTGTGCGTCATAGTCTATATTTTTGGCACTTTCATGGAGCCTTTTAGAAAGCCCACGATGAGCCCTTGAGTTCCTCAACACCAGCTGCAAATCAGTTATGATGTCCATTGGCTCTCCAAGAGCTGGAGCTGGAGCCGGAACCGCAGTCTGCAACATCAACATCCTCTCTGTAACATAAAATGATAGTGTAGATTAGAATATCAAATAAAAAATGGCAAGAAAGGCAACCATATCAAATAAATCATACCAGATGAAGCTCTAGTTTTCAAAACTTAATATTATCTCGAGCAAATTCACATTTTAAGCCAATACAGATTAAGATCCTTCAAAAACTAGGTACAATAGTGAATAGTGATGCTGCTATACTGAATTCATATATACACATGGAGGATACCTTGGAGTACAGTCGGTGGGGAAGAGAGTTGAGATTTCTCCAATTTTTGCTGTCCATTGATCGACATATTATTTTACCTTAAAATGTCACCTAATTTTAAACACAAGGAGTATGTAGAGAAAAGTTGAACATGTTAAGTTTAAAATAATGTTTTGATAATTAATTAAGAATTATTCTAGTTGTACATCAAAAATTGTACATAAGGGTCTACACCCCCCTCACATGAGGGGTGGGACCCATTGAAATAATATTTTTTTATTCAAGCGGATCCCACCTCCCATGTGAGAGGGGTGTAGACCCTTATGTATGGGGTGATGTACCCCTAGCAATGCTCTTGATTTAATTTGTTGTTACTATTTTCGCTTATCCAATTTTGATAATTTGACAAGTGAAATATGTTTAGCCTCTATTTGGTAGGCATTTTTATGGAGAGAATGCATTATTTTTTTTGTTGATGTGATAGGGAATATGTGGTTGAAAAAGAAGAAAAAGTTATTGATGTGATGGAAAATATTATTTTATTGAAAAATGTATTGTTGAAAATGAGTAGAAGAATAAGAATGAAAAATATAATGTGGCTCAAACAGGGATTTAAAACTTAAATTATTTGTCTGAAAAAATCCTAAACAAACTTTTGGGAATAATCTTTGTTGACCTCGTTTTTTGCACTGTTGACGTGGACAACATATACTTGACCCACTCGCGGTCTCTCAAGCTAATTCCAACACGCGTGTAACGATTGTCAATCAAAAATAAAATAGCATTTGGAAGTGGGAAAAACTTTATAACACGAGATAGAAATGTTTGAGCTCCGGTGAAATATATGAGATAACTTACACGATAATGTACAATCAATTAAGAACCAAATTTACAATCAAGATCGCACCTCATACACTAGAAACCCAAGATTAATAAAAAATAAAGATAATATATGGATTGCAGTCAATAATTTTGCATTACATTCAAATGATAAAAATTAGGGATATTTATAGTATTATATGTGCAATAGTAACCATTGGATAAGAGGACACGTGGTTTCGTCTCCTTTATCGAAGAATCACATCTTAGATATCAATTTTGACTGCACTAATCTGTGGCGCATTTAATGTTCCAAAAGGGAAGCGGCCACCCCATATCCTATGATGACAAGATTGAAATTTTTACTCATTACAATTGTTCAATCAATCATTCTAAAAAAATTTCATAAATTTAAGATCATAAAACGTGGGCTTCATGAGGGCTTCGATTGGTCGAATTGTTTGGACTTGGGTAGATCCTACTCCACGTCGAATGCCACATGGCTTCGACAGAAGGTACTTCAGTGGGTCGGCAAAGTCACGTGGGAGTCTAGGTGGCGAAGCATAACAATCTTGACCTTGGGTTAATCTTAAACAATTTGACTTTCACCCTAGGAAGTTTGCCACATCCATTTACCTTTGTGTGGCTAACCAACATAATATATTTAGATGAGGAAATTAGGCATAGTATAACTCAAAATCAAGAAAATAAATTAACATTCTTGTTATTATTAATTTTTAATTAACATTAAATTTTATGTTAATTTTCAATTGTAAAGTGTTTGCCAATTTTTGTTCTAAAAGTGACAAAAAAACAAAAGTGATATCATATATCATTTTATGTTTCAAAAGTGATAAATTTTGTGTGAAATAAGTATCATCTAATAGGACATTTGAGAAAGAAATATGGTTCAAATTCATCTGGAAAAACAACTCTTGCTTTTGCATTTGATTGCTGAGGCACAAAAAGGAGGAGGTTAGTAAGACCATTTTTAACCATTGAACTTTTGTATATTCATGTTAATTTGTTAATTATAAGTGATATGATGTGTTACTGTCTGTTTCAAAAGAGACATATCGTTAGTATTTTTATTACAAAAGTAAATATGAATTATAAGTCTATAATATGTATTCTATTATGTATTAGTAAAAAAAATTGAAAGACAATCCAAAATAAAAAATTCAAACACTCGAGTTTCATAAATCTTTCAACTTACTTTTCTTTTGTGGTTTCTTCTTCATAGTCACAATTGAAATGGTTTCACTTCCAATTAATTTTTTATTTTGTTAAATGTTATATCTGTTATCTTGTTTCCATTTGCCCTAATATCCGATGGAGACATTAATTGTAATTATATCTTTAAAAGGAATTCAAATGAGATCACGTGAAACTTTTTCTTTTTCATAAAAAAAAGTGACGGAGTATGTTACTTTCAAATTACGGTACCTTAACTCATATGCAAGATAAATAAAATTTTACATCATGTCACCTCTAAATATAAAATAAAATTTGAATTCATACTCAAACTTTGGGCCAAGGTGACCCAATTTAAATCTCAAAGTTATTGCATTTATATTTTAAGCTCCTTGTTTATACCGAGTTTTCAAAGGGGAAAAATTCATAAATAAGGTGTATATTTTA